CTGTCTCTGGTGGAAAAACACGATTAGTGTTGCTTGACAAGAACTATGTTCTTGACACTGAAAGATTGGACTTCGCTGCTACCGACGGCTGAGCTGGCATTTGTGGGTTCAAAAATACTGCTGCCGGGCTCCGAAGTCCTTGTAAGTGGCGGGTGCAGTACCGTCAGACACCGCAACAGACTTTGAAAGCTGAATGCTCGTCCCGCTGCTCAGCAGAACGCTGTTGGTCTGCATAGGCAACGAAACGGTCGAAGAACTTTCGTAAGAAGTTGGTGGTGTGGGCGATGCACTACTCGTTGCGGTCATCGATAAGGCTGGCAAACTTGTCTCGGTAGCCCCAGCGTCTAAAGACATGGTAAAAGACAAGCTGGTTGAAAGCTCGATGCTACTGCTTAGCTTCTCGGATGAGGCTCTTTCTGAAGAAACAGACTCGCTCGACGATGGTATGACGTTGCTCAATGCGTCGGATGGCCCGATGCTTGAAACCGAACCGCTACTCGTCGGGATCATCACGCTGGCATCCGACTGTGAAGATGCGATGGCTGATGATGCCGGTTCGCTTGGAAACGTCTCACTACCCGTGTTCTGGGACGATTCTGTACCGGGAGCCAGTCCAGAGGAGCTTGACTGTATGATCGGTTTACCTGACGGCTCCGCGCTTTGTCTGCTGGCACTCGACCGTACGACATCTGCGGAAGAAGTAGCTATAGCGCTTGGCGCGATGGACGCATTGGCTGAATAATTCCAAGTCAATTCAGTCTCGCTTGGAAATGGAGTCGGTTGTCCAGGCGAGACGACAAAACTGGAAGTGCCTATTGACGGAGTGGAGGACAGGGCAGTCCCCCCCGACGAGCCATCTTGCCCTGATGAAACGCTTCCACTGGAGATGGCCGAAGATTCACTTTGAGGAATCGCAGTCACGTTCAAAGAACTGACTGCCTCCGTCGAGACCGAGTCGCTTGCTGGAATGGCCGCGCTGGGAGATCGCGTGGGCTCCATTGACGAGACAACAGCAGTTGGGAAAGGTGCGCTACCATTTGAGGGTATCACTGCATCAGAGGAAGTCAAACTCTGGCTTAGGGAGCTTATATCGCTTGAAGAAACAGTCGGATCGCTGGAGGAAACAGCAGGGTCTCGAGAAACAGAAGCATTGCCGGAAGCAGATTGACCAGGGGTAGTACTCATCTCAGCAGATGATAAGATCTCGCCGGACGACGGGCTAGAGCTTGCTGGCACGGTGCTGCTTGCAAAAGGCGTCGTACTTGGCACTACTGAAGGCTGACCAGCGGATGTAAGCCTGGTCGAGGAGGCATCAAGTCTTGAAGAGGTGGCATTGGTCGACAGGACATCGTCACCTGAGGAGGTTGAATAACTCGGCGAGGCAGAAAGCTCATTTGAGATACCAACCTCACTCAGAGTAACGGCTTCCGTCGATGATGGACCTTGCTCGCTCAATACTGAAGCCTCATTACTCAACGAGACGGAAGACGGGCCACTCGATCTGCCTGTTTGAATGCTCGATTCGCTAGACGAAAGCAAAGTCTGTGTAGTTTGGCCACCTGGAACATGTAGGCTGCTGGGTTCAAGAGAGAGACGTGGGCCTGATTTAGAGATTGAGACACTGGATCTGACGAAATCACCCGTTGTCGAAGCGCTGAAACTTGGTGAGAAGGCAGGCTCTCTACTTGTAACCGGGAAGCTATGGGTTGCTGAGGTGGGAACGCTGCTCATGGACCGCGACGAGGCCATGTCGGATCTTTCCACCGATTTCGACGATGGATCACTTGTGGACTCCACGGGTGTGACGGTCGAGGATGCTTGAGACAGTATAATTGAGGAAAGCATTGAGGGTTCGACGGATGAAGTGATGGAGGGCGTGACGGAGGGCCCGAGACTGACTGTGGAGGAGGCGCTGAATGGCTCCCCCGTGTTACTCGGCATTGTCGAGGACCGAGGATTAGAGCTCACAGGCAAGTTGGTCGGTTGCTGGCTACTGATCATCTCCGTGCTTGCCGTATCAGGTGGGCTGCTGTTTGTCGCATCTGGCGATGACCCCGGAAGCTTGGTCGATCTGGTTGTGCTTGCCCCTGTACTTTCCCCTGATGAGATTTCCGTTGTTGACATGGACTGCGGGATCTCGAATGATGATGTCTCTCCAGCAATGGAAAGAAGGCTGTGCCGATGGCATCTTCTCGCTTTCCGACACGCTTTGCTCGGCTTTCTGTGTCTCTATATTGCCCATATTCTGTAAGACAGAGGATAGTTTCGAAAACG